GGTCGTATTATACCCAGGGTAGACGCCATCAAGGTCCTCGGCATGATCATCGAGTCCTGCGGAATCAACACCCAAACAGTACACAAGCGCAGGACTTAGACTCAGAATGCTATACGACTTGTTCATAGAGTAGCCAACAGACACAATGGCCTCAAAGAAGACAACCTGCTGCGTCTCGTACATGCGTTTGTTTTGTGCCAATTTGCCTACGTTGCCAATATACACAAATGGCTACGTGCTGAGCGCGATCAACTCAATGCGCTTATTCGCAAGGGGGTCAAACGAACCCTTGGCCTCCCTATCACCACTCCAACACCAAACTCATTGAGCTTGGCGTACATTACACACTAGAAGATATTGCCGAAGCTCAGAAACGCTTGCAATTGACCCGACTCACCACCACCAAGGCGGGCCGCCATATTCTGCGCGAGCTCGGCTTCTTCTCATCGTGGGCAAGGGAACCCCCCCCCCCAAAGTTGACTCTAATTCCCCGTGAAATCCGCGAACCTATCACGATTGGTCCCATTCCACGAATTTTACACCCCGCTTGCAACAGAGGCAGGCGCCTTGCGCGGGCGACCAGCATTCTCAAGGGCATAGACATAGACGCGGGCAACGTCTCGTTCTTGGACGCCGCTGCCTATCACAACAACCGAGACTTCGCCGCGGTCGCGGTGTCATCCACGCAGCAGACTCTTAACTCTGCCACAATGCTCACCCGAAACCCCGAAGTAACGGAGCAAGTAGCTATAGCTATAGCTATGCTCGACAGCAAAAGGGAACTCATCTACAGCGACTCCAGACCAGCCATCAAAGCCTTCGAACGCGGAGTCATCTCCAACCAGGCGTTATTATCCTGCACAGAGCGGTTCCGAGTGCCCTGAAGCACCACACTGTTATATTGTTCCCCGCCCATCTTGACCAGATGCCGGGTGCTCTATCCAACCACAACGAGATCGCCCATGATGCAGCCCGCGCACTTACGTCCCGCACCGCCACAAGGCAACCCCATCTTGCTGAGTTGGTGACCACTCGGGATGCACCCAATACGTACAATGACATAACAAAGTATTTTTACCTGGAACGCCGCATTTTCCACCCCCACATTCGAAACTTAATAGACTGCAGACATTAACCCTACGCCTATTACAGGCACACACGTACCCAAACCTTGACACGCTTCACGTTTATTATACTGTTGCATATCCCAGAGACACATGCTCATCATGTGGACACACAGCGACACTCGCACACATGCTCTGGGAGTGTAGATTAACTCCTCCTGACTCTACCTCAAAAAGGTTGGAGAGGTCCCTCAGGAGCACACTTTTCGCCGACCAGCAATGGGCCGTCCAGCAGGCCTACGAAGCGGCCGCCAGGTACTCCTTGTAAGTCCCTACGTGGGAGACGCCCGCTACACGCTAAGCGCCTCCTGCAGGACTGAAATAAAGTTTTTTCATTCCATTCTATCACAGGCCATTAGATCCAAGGTGTACCCGAATACACGACCTATAAAAGTCACAAAAAGGATCAATGTGGTCATCATGTCGGTCTGTTATGAGTTCTTTTGTTATTTTTAATGAACTGATCTTTTATTCTGCAATAAATAAAGTATGGTTGGGTATGAATTTAGGATCAATCAATCAATCAATCAATCAATGTTTCTTTATTAGCATCAGAAGTGTCCATTGTGAGTAAGTATGCAGGAGGAGGTCCCAAGGTAGTAAACCACAGGCGGGACCTCCTATGTTATTACAATGAAAAAGCTAAAATATGAATATCGAAAGAGCAAGTCACAGAACATTTTGAACTTTTTTTTTCTACAAACAAAGCAAGATATCAAAACTTAACAAAATCCAGCAGTTATACGTTTAATAGAGACTTTTTCAATTTCCTCTTAAAAACATGAATGTGCATTAAGTCTTTCACATCATGTGACAAAGAATTCCATAATGAAATTGATGAAAAAACAATGCTCATTTTTCCATAATTAGTGCGAACTTTAGGTAATAACAGGTTATGGGCGACCGCGAATCTAGTATTATTGGAATTATCCAACAAGGTAATAGGAAAGATGTCGATAGTGAGGGTACGGTGGAAAATTTTGAAAAACAAAACACACACATTGTAAACGTACATTTGGGAGATCGGTAATACGTCAAGCTGGCGAAAAATCTCATGTGATGGCGCTTGACGTGAAGCGAAAGTTATGAGTCGAATTGCTTGTTTTTGCAATACCTTTAACGGCCAAATGTGCATCGAATATGAATTACCCCAAGATGTAATGCAATAACTGAGATGACTGTGTATGAATGCATAATACAATGCCTTGAGAGTTTCGACGTTAAAACACATTCGTGACTTGACCAATGCCCTGATACCGTACGAAATCTTTTTACAAACAGAATTGATATGTTGCTGAAATTTTAGATGTGTGTCCATTATAACTCCTAAAAATGACGTATGATCACTTAAAGGAATAACTATTGAGTTCACATTAAGGTAAGGAATAAATGATAGTTTTTTGTTTGGTGAATAAAAAAAGCATAAAACAGGTTTTGCAAGGATTAATCAACAATCTATTACAGTTGCACCAGTCAACAAGACAATTAAGGTCAGCTTGAAGTCTTGACACGAGAGTCGCTAAATCCAAGTAATGAGAAAAGAGAGTCGTGTCATCAGCGTAAAGTAAACAGGAAGAATAATTAAGGCAACGTGGTAAATCATTTATGAATAATAAAAATAATAATGGACCCAAAATTGAACCTTGCGAAACACCTCTTGTAATGGGGTTGGGACTGGATGTAAAATTATCGACCGAGACCACCTGCAACCTATTAAGAAGAAAGCTCTGTAATAGCGTTAATGCGGGACCAGTTATGCCATAGTACTCGAGTTTGCGAAATAGGATGAAATGATCAATACTATCAAATGCTTTAGTAAAGTCGACGAAGACAGATCCTGCGATGTTACCATTATCAATGAATGATCTGATTTTGTCAGTGAAACAAGCAATTGCAGTATCAGTGGAAAGACCAGCCCTAAAACCAAACTGACAAGAAGAAAGTATGTTAAATTTGCTTAAATATTTAGATATTCTTATTTCAATTAGTTTTTCCAAAATTTTATCCAGGAAGGGAAGGACAGATATGGGCCTGTAATTGCACATACTGAAGGTATCACCTTTTTTAAATACTGGCACTACCTTCGCAACCTTTAATTTATCCGGGAAAACACCGTACTTCAAACAGCGGTGGTATACGTGAGCTTAACCGTTGTTTACCGTAGTTTGTGCATGATCTAGGTTTGTATATAAAGCTCTTACGTAAATAATATGGTGTTTGACGTAATATTTAACCAAGCTCTCAATGGCCCCCGTAGAATGAGCGTTCACAGCACAGAGGCACACGTAGGCTCCAGGCCGCTTTTCGTTGGTGTCAGCGGTAACACGTTACAAGAAACGACGTTACCGGTAAGGCTTTTTTTTGGTAGTTTAGTAATGTGCTCGTTGATATATTTAGTAGCTGCAATGGGTAACGCACTTTTCTTAACATTATTCAGTAACATGACGTGCCACGTTACTCACAAGTTTTCATTCCAATGATCTCCGGAGTCTTGCACGAAATTCTTTCCTTTGCAGAGAAGGTGCACTGAAGACTCAATGTGTGTGCCCTGTACGTATGGAAGAACAAAAGATGTGACATGCCTTACTTCTTATCAGTAACAATAACGCGTCAACTTTTTTGTTGGTAACGTAGGACATTCATTTTTGTTATCATAAACTTTATTGTATACTTTGTCACTTTCCACCAGTATACGTCTGTATATTTCCGGACAGTAACAACAATCCACAACGACAACAAGAGAACACTAAGCGGAACGTTTCGCTCGCAATTTGACTTATATCAGGGAGTCTGTTGCCAAACGAGATTGTACTGATAATACGAGCAGCGTAGTTGAGAAGTAGTTACAGTGTAACTAGGAAGCGAAAAAAAAGTAAGGAAAAGAGCGCTGACTTTCAAAAATAAACTGACAGCGGAGTGGTGTACATATATAGGCGAGAAAAGAAGAGAATAGGCATGCGTAAAAGGATGCAGTTAACAACCACTGCGATACAATGACAGCAAAACTTTTGTCCCTATTTGAATGAGCTAGAAACAAATACACATGTAGCTTAAAAATGACCGAGATACGCAATCTCTATTTGCAACAACGCTATTGATGGGCAACTTACATATTTACCGTCAAACTTATTTGATAGACTTCAATTATCTCACGCGTGGCCTACGAGTCATGTTTGCCTATTACCTCACAACGCTCAAGGAGTGGCACGCAGCCACTGTCTCGGCAGTGGAATCCAAGGTGTCGTTGAACAGCATTGTGCACATAATAATTTTTCTCTCTTAAACGGCCTTTCAAGCCACTCTGGTTTGCACTGTGTATGTCTTACCGCATCTTGCAGAATAAGATATACGTCACCAATAACACAGAACGCACCAACAAAGTGCGTTCTGTGTTTCACAGTGCATGTGAAACTCTTTGCAGCGGAATTATTCACCAACTCACAAAGCTTTCATAGACCCGACTGCGGTGGTCTAGTGGCTAAGGTACTCGGCTTCTGACCCGCAGATCGTGAGATCGAATCCCGGCTGCGGCGGCTGTTTTTCCGATGGAAGCGGAATTGTTGTAGGCCCATGTGCTCAGATTTAGGTGCCCGTTAAAGAACCCCAGTTGGTCAAAATTTCCGGAGCCCTCCACAACAGGGTCTCTCATAATCAGATGGTTGTTTTGCTACGTTAAACCCCACATATGAATCAAAGCTTTCATAGCTTTTTTTGGGGAAAATCGACAAGGATAGCAGCGCGTTTTCCAATTTTCGCCGGAAAACGCGCTGTCGTATAATGTTGGTGACATTACTTTTTGGTGATAAGTTACATTCAATCTGGGAAGTACGTTTTACAAATAGTAAATTGCGTTCATTGAAAACCGTGTCATTGCAGGTAGTGAATTCGACCATGATGGCTCATCACAGCTTGTGGACTCAGTGTGGCCCTACCCGGTACGAGAGCCAATCCTTCTCTTGGAGCTCATCCCCATTTGCATCGGTGCCGCACCTTGGACAGCCGGACGAATGGAGCTTTCCACCGGCACTTAAAGAGTGGGAAATATGATTGCCGAGTGCCGCAGAGCGCTGCTCGAGACTTTTTCTGTAGGAACTACGTGTGCTCTCGTTGCAGAATTTCTACATTTCTGTCGATTAAACACATGCTCAATCATCAGCTGATTTTGGAGCTTCATTGGTGCTAATTTAAAAAGTTTGTGATTTTGGAGGCTTATTAACGCAACAGCGTTGCGGAGCTAATTTCGCAGATAATTTGACATCGATGAACGTCGGCGTCATCCTTGGCTAGCAAAGAATGATTTAGTCCGTGAAAGATCAATAAAGATGCAAGTAAAAACATGCTTCATCCTTAGGGGAAATACATTTCTAACAACAAAGTAAAACAGGTTCTTACATGTTTATTTGTGAAGCTGCGCACGGAGGGAAGCCGCAAAAGGGACGAGAAAGACGAAAAGAAAGACCGTTTGTTTTGGCGCAGTACATTATGGATGCACTGCCCCTGGCGCTTCAACCTTCAACCTTCAAGAGGTCAAGTGGAAGAAGAAGAAGCACGCGCTGGCACAGAAGAAATATTCGGTCTGCTCTGCTTCTTGCCCTGTCAGGACTGCAAGCTTGGCTGTGAAGAAGCTGCCTGAGCCTAGGATCGGCATCCTTATTGCTACTTGAAAATATGTTTATTTTTGTAAGCTGTATTGATCATTTTGAGCTAAAGCGAGTTTCCATCTCAGTGCCATTTTCATCTCCTTGGTGAAGGGCACTCCCCATGATTAGCTTCTACTCTGGTCGAGGATTGGCCTATTGAATATTTGTTACGTAGTGGAGTGAGCAGCGTCCCTGTGGCTTTGTTACCTACCAATGGCACCAATATACCCCTGAAGAACAGAAAGGTTATTCAATTGGAGCTTAGAAAAGCCACTTCATATTTCCAGCCGATCACTTACTTCTGCCAGTTCGGTCGCGAAGGCATCCTGTGCTGTTCTGCAGATCAGGAATACATTCGTGAGCATGTGCATTGTTCTGAGTTTGCAGTGCAACTAGTAAGCCCGTTCATTCCAGCACACCTCGCATGCTCGAAAGGAATAGTTCGCAGTGTTAACACAAGCCTCACACCTGCAGAAATACTGGATTTGTTTTCGGTTGCGGGTGTAATTTTAGTCTACAAGTGCACCCGTATGACTAACAACAAAAAATCCCCAACCGGATTGGTATTATTTACCTTTTTAGGATCAATCACACATTCAAAAATTAAGGCATGGCCACCAGTGTTGCGGAATAGGCGCCTTCATTCCATTTAGATTCCATTCCGCGGAACTATGACTTGCCGATATTCCATTCAATGCCCCAGAACGAAAAAACCTAGCCCATTCCCACTCCGGGAATGGCCGGGCAGTTCAATTCCATTCCTGTGATTGCTCAGTGTAGAAAATGCCTCTTGATCGTTCTATTGGGTTAAGAAAATGAACGCCCCTATAAAGCTGGTGTCACGAGATGCATTAGGTACTGCAAAAAAAAAGCAACACGCGTTAGCAAGGTTGAGGGATAGTAGCTTGCCAGAATATCTCATGCCGTAGAACCACCATAATAATTATCATAAAAGCAGTTCTCCCACTACATATAGTGTTTGCATAGTGAGCATGTTTGAACAAATGTGATGTCTTAGTATTGTTTAAGCTTAGATGTGTTAATGCTGAAATGACCACATAGCTTATATTGATGCTGACAAAAGTAGCGTTAAAGAAGACAAATCTGTTTCGTCACGCTATGGAGTTGTTGTGAGCATAGAGAAAACCAAGATTCACTAAATATTTGGTAATGAGACATGAAACCTTCTAGATCTAAATGTATTAGTAGTATAACGAAGAAAATATGTCAACACCAGAGAACTACAAGCACCACCGCAGAGGAAGGAACCACGAGAAAAGCGCTCGAGCACCATCTTCCTCATCCCGTTGCTATCACCGATCTTCAAGCTGTACATTAGGTTCACCCAATAATCCTTCGTACATTTGGTGGATCGTGCTGGGTAACCACATTGCCTATGACCTGGACTCCAATCCCGCACCCTGCCGTCGACCATGCAAGTTGACGCTGTCCACTAGACAGTACCTCTCACGGCCGCTACTTACCCCGGCCCGTTTCACCAGCGAGACCCCCCCCCCCAATCTTTGTGGGCATCGAAGGCCAACATAACGAGGAATGGCTGTCATCCTACGAAAAAGTCAGTGGGACCAAAAAGTGTGATGACGCTGCTAAGTTGGGCACTGTTAATTTTCATTTCACCAACGTGGCGAAGCTATCGTAAACAAACCACGAAACTGAGTTCGTGAACTGTTCCGACTTCAAGGAGGCGATATCCGGCATTTTTGGTCGCCCTGCCTTACGGAAGCTACGCGCCGAACAACGTCTGCGCACATGAGCACATGAGCCAGGTGAAACTTTCACCTCATATATAGAGGAAGTAATCAATCTCTGCTGGCGCGTCGATGTCTCCATGAGCTAGAGGAGTGTGCCAAGATACAGCATATTATGAAGGGCGTTGACGATGACGTTTTTCAGATGCTTCTCGTAAAGCCTCCTAGCACTGTGGCCGAAGTGGTGACTTTGTGTAAAAGCTATGTTGAAGCTGAAGTAAGGAGGAAACGAGCTCAGAAGCGAAGTTCATCCCAGACAATCCAACCAGTGACCACACTGGACGTCATGCCTGACCATACAAACCTTCTCGCACAACTAAAAAACTTTGTGCGAGAGGAAGTGGCTCGGCAGCTTTCTCTACTGCCTTGTTGCTAAACGCCAGGAGCGCTCACCGCATCAGCCGCTGTGACACCCACCACCATTGGCTCCCATGCTCTGACATGTGGTACAGGAGCAGATTTTCAATGCTTGGCCGGTGCTTTTCCAGCAGCCCCCCCCCCCCCCCGTCACTGCGCCTCTTACGTACTCTGAGGCACTAAAGCGGCAGCAGGTACTCTCGCCATTCCAGGGACTGTCGCATACCTTAGCGCTGACTCAGCTGTTCACCGCATGGGCTCCTCCAATCACTATCACAGCCCCAGCTCACCCGTCCACCACATAGCCTGCTCCCTTCACCGCGAATTTCCGGAGAGGCGCGATAGCCGGCCCATCTGTTTTGTGTGCGGTGGTCCTGGCCATATCACCCGATTCTGCCGTCGTCACGTGCCCGGATACACAGACGCCCGGACACAGAACAGCTTCATGGACCTTTTTCCGTCTCGTCTAGAGAATTCGGATCCTCAGTCAAGCTCGCATTCACGGGAATATTCACGAACGTGTGTCTGGTCACTCATTTTCACCCTGTCGTCGCTCCCTATCACCCATGCGTCGTCGGACAGCTCCTGAACACGAGGAAAATCAACCGTCACAGTTCAGGAGTTCGGAACTGCACTGCAGAAATGCCCAAGTTCTCGAACATTGCAGTCAAATATTGTCGAAATTTGGTAGAAGGTAATCACGCATATACTCTAGTTGGTACCGGTGCTGCGTTTCCGCGATAGACACCAAGCGGCCGCAAGCTCCGAAAAGTAACTACGTCTCTTCATATTGTAACAAACGTAGCAGCCTCACAACAACAATGTTCTATTTAGTACGGTTTATTATTTTATTTATTTATTTATTTATTTAATACATACTGCGGACCACACTTCGGTCCAAGCAGGAGGGCATGGCGTAATACAAAGAGAAATACAATACACGCAAAACAAAAACAAAACAGTGCACAGTTACTCAGTATCGCAAGTACTAGATTCGATTGTCTGGTTCCAGTCTGAAATGGTGCGTGGAAAAAATGAAAATTTGAACGTGTCCGTTCTCGCGAAGTACGGAGTTAGTGCATTTGGTTGGTGATGTCTTGTCGGTGTTGTGTTTAATGGAGAAAGAAAAGGGGTTGGATCAAGGGAAAGTTTGCGATTATATACAAGAGACAGAAAATCAAGGCGGGACTTCTTTCTACGATCCTGAAGGGAAGGAATATTATTAGCTAGCATTAGGTCTGTGGGGGAGTCCGTTCGCAAAAACCTAGAATAAACAAACCGAATAGCCTTCCGCTGAATCCTTTCAAGTATTTTAACGTTTTGTTTAGTATGGGGGTCCACACGATACTCGCATACTCCAGCTTCGGCCTAACGAAAGTGAAATAACTAAGAAGCTTTACGTTTGGAGGGGAATTTCTGAGCTTATAGAGCTTATATCTTAGGAAGCATAATTTCCGAAAGGCAGACGAGCAAATATTATCTATGTGCATGTTCCATGATAAGTTGTTTGTTAGCGTAACGCCGAGGTACTTATAACTGTCAACCTGTGTGAGAGAAGACGATCCTAATTTATACACGTGTTCACTAGGGTTTTTCTTTCTCGTTACACAGACATATACACTTTTTTCCAAATTTAATTCCATTCCCCATTCTACACACTACTCCCGCACGTTTTCAATGTTTTTCTCGAGTTCGTTCTGATCATTAGTACATGTGACTTCCCGAAACAAAACACAGTCGTCAGCGAACAATCGAATTTGAACAGTAGGGTCAACAACAGTTACTAAATCGTTAATATACAACAAAAAAGCAATGGTCCCAAAACACTACCTTGTGGAACCCCAGAGGTGACAGGAAGACACCGAGATTCTTCTTCGTTAATTTTTACAAGATGTTGGCGGTTGGATAGGTAGGCTGCAATCCAGGAAACAAAAATATCCGGAGTGTGAATGTTTTTAAGTTTTGCTATTAGTTTGTCGTGTGGTACCTTGTCGAAAGCTTTTTTGAAATCTAAAAATATAGCATCAACTTGGCCATTATTGTCAAGACACGCTGCGAACGAATGAATTATTGTCACCAATTGGGTTGCCGTGGAATAACCTTTTCTAAAACCTTGTTGAAAATTTGTTAGTACGGCATTGTCGTCTTGAAATTCAAAAATCTGTTTGGAAATAATATGTTCAATGATCTTGCAGCATTGAGACGTTAAAAATATCGGACGGTAATTTTGAAAGCTGGACTGGTCACCTTTTTTAAAAACGGGAACAATCAGAGCCATCCTCCAGTCACTTGGCAGCTTCCCAGTGGACAAAAAAGTACGAAATATTACTACAAGAAACTTAGCAAGTATTTCGGCATATCTGCGTAAAAAGGCGTTTGGAATCTGGTCTGCACCACATGAAGACTTGGTTTTCAAATTTAACAG